ACTCATATGGAAGAGCAACTTCGTGTCACTAAACTATAAGGTCATTGACAAAACTAATTTAGAAGAGACCGTATTTATTTGACAAAACTTTAGTTAGTTTGGACTACTAATTTCAAACAAACATTCGATGCATCTATTTATATCCTACACCACGGCGCGCTTTGCATTGTGCGCCCAGATGAAAAATGACGTCGTTTTAATTTTTTTTTTTTTTTTTGAAATTTCGCGTACCCAGTGTTTGGTAGTTAATTTTCCTTTAAAAAAACATCTCATGTTTAAAAATGTACATAATGTTATATTAGAATACACATAATTGTATACATGAATGTACATAATTGTATAACAAAATACATATACTTTTTTTTTTAAAGATAATACATATAATCTAACATAATACATAATATACATAAACTTTTAACATAATAAACATCAACTCTTAACATAATATATATAAATTTCCTGTTTCGGATGTACATAATTGTATAAAAAAGATATACATGATTGTATAAAAAATATACATAATTGTATAAACAAATACACATAATCGCGTTAACTCCTTACCTAACATACCAAAACAACGTTGTTTTGGGAGGCGCGGAACGCACAGTGCTATGTGCGCCGCGGTGCATGGTATAACGATTGACGATATGCATATACATAAGTCAAGCTTGTGAAACTCATTTTGGCCCTCGATTTGTGCGATTAGCGTACGTGTGCAAAAGACAATCTTCATATAATACATATTTTTAGGGATGGCAATGGGTCGGGTGTGGGTCGGGGAGGGCTACATCCATCACCCGACCCACCTTATATTTTCTCCACCCACCCCCACCTCCAACCCGCATCGGGTGGACTTTTTCAGAACCCACCCCCACCCCCACCGGGTGCGGGTGCCCACTACGGGTACCCACCACTTATCATCTTATTATGTTTTTCAAAAAATAATATTTAAATTATTTACACATAATAAAAAAATAAAATTCAGAGTTAATACCCAAAATCGTCCTCGACTATAGTGGTTTTTCTCAATTTCGTCCTAAACGACTTTGGTGACCTAATATCGTCCTAGACTTTTGTGTTTCACTCAATTTAGTCTCAGACTTTTGTGTTTTTGCTCAATTTAGTCTCTCATTTGTTATTCTGTCCATTTGGTGTTAAATAAATAGACAATTCCGTAATTTTAATATTGACATCTCTTTACTCATAGACATGTGAACTGCGAAATCCTTTTTTTTTTACGAATTACTCCCAGAATTACTCCTTAAACTGTGAATATAAAATTTGATTTGCAGGTCCGGGAGTAATTCTGGGTGTAATTCATACAAGTAAGATGAATTTCGCACTTCACAAGTTGAAAGTAAGGAGAGATCAATATTACATTACTGAATTGTCCCTTTATTTAACACCAATTTGACGGAATAACAAATGGAGGACTAAATTGAGCGAAACACAAAAGTCTGGGACAATATTAGGTCACCAAAGTCGTTTAGGACGAAATTGAGAAAAACCACTATAGTCGAGGACGATTTTGGGTATTAACTCATAAAATTCATTAGTGATACTAAAACATAAATAATGGAAATATTTAAATATAATAACTAAATTGTTAATTTTTAAAAATAAACTTAGTAGTTTTGATATAAAAAATAGTAAAAAGATACACGGAGTTATATAAACTATTATAAATAACTACATACTAGTATTTATTTTACTATTATATATATACACACACACATGGTGGGTCGGGTGGGGCTCTAGGCGGGTCTTGTACATAGAACCCGAATCCAACCCGACCCACCGCGGGTTTTCTTTTTTAAGATCCACCCCCGACCCACCACCCACCATCACCCAAAAAAACCCGATCCATGCGGGGTGGATTCGGGTGGATATCCTTGGGTCGGATTGAAATTGCCATCCCTACATATTTTGCACTTTTTAAAGATAAAAAATTTAATTTGTCATTCACACATTATCTTTTTAAGTATTAGTTACTTTTGTAACCTGTTGAAACACTGTCTCCACTAAGATTCGATCTTATAACCTCCCATATAGGAGAGTAACTACATGCTATCTAAACACAAGTTGTTTGGCTATTCACACATTATATATATATATATATATATATATATATATATATATATATATATATATATATATATATATATATATTTATTTATTTATTTATTTATAATCGCACTCACGTGCGAATGCTTCGCCCAGGCGCGAAATAGGAATGGATTCTGTCCGTTCACGTGTCCAAATCTAATGGATGAAAAACACTGATTTAAAAAAAAAATCGGCGGCATTTTCGTAAATAATTAAACATCAAAGTGCAAGTAAAATGTATTACAAGTGCATGTAAAATGTATTATAGGTGCAAGTAAAAATTTACACTAAGCATCAATACTAAGTGCACCTATAGTTAAAAGTAGTTGCACCTATAGTTCTAAGTACTTGCAAATATAGTTATAAGTAATTGCACCTAGGTGCATGAATGTTTGCGGGTGGCTTTCAGGGGTATTACTACCCGCTGAACTCAGATCAATGAATGTTAACAAGGCAAAATTATATGCACTTATAGGTGAAAGTAGGTGCACGAATAGTTATAAGTATTTGCACCTATAGTTATAAATAGTTGCACCTATAGTTATAAGTAGGTGCACCCAGGTGCATGAATGTTTGCGGAAGTGAATGTTAACAAGGCAAAATTACATGCACTTATAGGTGAAAGTAGGTAGGGGTGTGCAAACTTCGGATAATTTTCGGTTAACCGACCAAACCGACAAAGTTCGGTTAACCGTTTTCGAATCGAATTTTTTCAGTTCGGTTAATGGTTAAAGGAATTTTAAAAATTCATTTAACGGTTAATTCGGTTCGAAAGGTTGGTTAACCGAATTAACCGAACGGTTAACCGAAATTTTTAATATATATAAAAATAATAATATAAATATAAATATTAATTTGAAGTTATGGATGTTTGGAGTTTATAATTCATGTTTTTTTATATTTTGTTATGAATTTATTATGATATATATTTTATTTTAATTGAATTTATTATTTTAGGTGTTATATTTAGAATTTTAAATTTTAGCTTTAAAAAGTTCGGTTAATCGGTTAACCGACCGATTAACCGAAAATTTTTTTGGTTCGGTGAATTCGGTAGAGAAAACTTGGTTAACGGTTAAAGGAAAAAAACTTCGGTTAATTCGGTTCGGTTAACCGATTGAACACCCCTAAAAGTAGGTGCACTTGTAAGTGATTTTACTTGTACTTCGATGTTCAATTATTTATGAAAATGCCACCGCATTTTTTTTTAATCTATTAGATTATATATATATATATATATATATATATATATATATATATATATATAGTGATGTTCCAATTATAACCACTCCTCCGTACGAACATAAAAATTAATCTGGTGCATTAAAACATCTATGGATGAAATTAATTGGGGAAAATAAAAATGCATGTATGCATATAGAGTCTTATGATGTGTACATATTAATCATGTGTTGAGTGCAACATAGGATATGCACACACAACACATGCTTAATATACACACATATTTAACATGCACACAACATAACGCTCCTGATGTAGTAAATACAGGGATTCCTACAAAGTGTTAAGTACGGAGGTCGGATCATACTGGGATCTTGTGCTAGTTTGCTTGTTGGTTTAAGTGCTTAAGTTCGGGTTACGTGACAGTGAATCAGAGGTTCCCGGGCTTAAATTAAAGGTCTAGAAATTGCGAAAAGTCCCACATCCTTGCATTTGATGCAATGCAGTATTTATAGGAGTTGCAAGTGGCACATGTCGGTCTCTTGGCATGTGTGACACGTGGAACTCATGCACATGGCAAGGTCGGGGGCCTGACTGATCTCTCCATGTGTCTAGAGATTCCTGACTTTACCGGACCCACCGCTACTGAACTGGGCTGAGAGGACTGTGTTCAAGTCGTTCTCAAAGTACCACAGGTCGGATGCTCGTCCCGATCTAATATGGTCGGGGCGGCGTAACGAGTACTGGCTCCCCTTACCAGTGAAAATGACACACGGTCGGGGATTTAGGTTGGGCAAAAGCGCGGCCTAGTCGGTCATGTTCGAGTCCGGGTCTACCAGGTACCGACCAGGTATACGCTACGGGTACGGTGGGGGATAATCCCTATCAGCTCCATATGCACACTGGCGTTTTTAATTCTATCTATCTTTTCTAATGCACCAGATTAATTCTCATGTTTTTTTTTTGAAGGGGGGGGGGGGGGGGGAGTGGTTCTCATATGATCACTATATATATATATATATATATATATATATATATATATATATATATATATATATATATATATATATATACAATGGATCAGGTGCGAAGCTTCTCCCATATGAAATGTGCGGATTAATCACGACCTTTAATTTTGTCAAAATCAACAGCTCAGAATAAAGAACAATTTTAAAAAAACGCGGTGGCATTATGGTCATTTTGCGCAAGGTCACAACTTATGGTGCGTAAATTTAATATTTAAGGTGTGTAAGTTCAAATTTGTGTGTATGTTTATAGCTTAAGATGCGTAAGTTTATAACTTAAGGTGTGTAAATTTATAGCTTAAGGTATGTATGTTTAAAGCTTAAGGTGTGTCACTTTCTAATTTCAGGTGTATCAGTTTAACTCTTAAGTGCATTATTTTCCAGCTTAAGATGTATAAGTTCGAAGTGAGTTCGAGACACCTGATCATTTCCATCCATGTTGCCAAACAAGTACATTTTTTTTTTTTTTAATTTTCCTTCATTTTGAATAGTTGATCTAGATTAGCAACGGTTCAGATCTCACCCCATTTTTCACCAGGGAAAAGTTTCACACATGATCCATCCCTTATATATATATATATATATATATATATATATATATATATATATGATGTATTGGCATACAAAGTACAAAGGTCTAAACATACATAAATACATACATACATACAGATTTAATTTATATAAATAGGGGAGAGTGCAACGTGTCGACACAGTATGATCTGTACATAGTTTGCAGGGTAGGGAAGGGTAAGAACTAAGATGGGCGATGAGCATGAAAAGTTGCTGCCAATAGCTAACGTGGGGAGGATAATGAAGCAGATCTTACCAGCAAAGGCCAAAATCTCTAAAGAGGCCAAAGAGAGAATTCAAGAGAGCGCTTCAGAGTTCATTCGCTTCGTCACCTGTGAAGCCTCCGACAAGTGCCACAAGGAGAACCGGAAGACGGTGAACGGGGACGACATCGTTTGGGCTCTCAGCTCTCTAGGGTTGGATGACTATGCGGAGGCCATGACAAGGTACCTCCACAAGTTCAGAGAGTATGAGATGCTGAGAGCAAGCCAAACCAGAGGCCCACCCGCCGGGGAAGACGACGAAGAAACGGATCGCTACTGAAACCTCAGTTCGCCGCCGGCGTAAGACTACTGTAGCTAGCACTGCTGGATTCCAGGGTTTTTTTTTTTTTTTTTTCTCTCTCTCTTTATTTTGACAAGATAACCAATAACATTTGAGTGGATTTAGTATTAATATGCATTAATACTTGTTCTAATTTCTGCACTTCGGAGTTTAGATGTTGTATAATGTTGAAATTCTGTGCTTGCAAATGCAATTTAATGATGATTTTATTAAGTAATCATTAACTATAATTACATTCAACCAGTAACTTTTCTTCTCCCATTCAACCAGTAACTTTGATCTAGTGGGTGTTAGACTTGGTTATTTACTAGTGACAACTGGTATTCTATTGTATCTAGAAAGGATAATTAAGGGCTAAATAATAATAATAATAATAATAATAATAATAATAATAATAATAATAGGCATCAAAGTCAGCAAAACATAATAAGCTGGCATAAATGTCTTTACAAGCAATAACATGTCAAAATATATATAGGATAATTACAATTTCTTTTCAAGTTCAACCATCTAATTGTAGTTTTTCAAGTTTGAGACTTTAATTTCAGTTTTTTGAATAGTTCTAAAGTTTATTTGGCCTTTATTCTTACTTTAAAATACATTTTTATTTTATATATCATATACACTTTATATATATATATATATATATATATATAAAGTGTATATGATATATAAAATAAAAATGTATATATTTAAGTAAAATGTATATATACATATATATATATATATATATATATATATATATATATATATATATATATATATATATATATAGAATTAGGTTCTGGTGCGGTTAGGGTGCCCAGGTGTGGTTGTGCGGTTTAATCTGGACCATTCATCTCGCTTAAATCAACGTCCAGAATTGTCAAAATTTAAAAAAAAAAAACGCAGTGACAATTTTGTAATTTTTGCATGTAGGTCAAAATTAAGGTGAGCGGATCTGTGATTAATGTGCGTGGGGTTTGTGTTTAATGTGCGTGAGGTTGTGCTTAATGTGTGTGGGTTTGTACTTAATGTGCGTGAGGTTGTGCTTAATGTCAATAGTTGTTGAAACTTAAAATCTGTGAGTTAATATATTAAAGTACGTGGGGTTTGTGTTTAATGTGCGTGAGGTTGTGGGCAAATTATGCTGTGCATCCGTATGCACCATGCATGGTGCATATGGACGCCAAAACGACGTCGTTTTAATAAAACGTGCGTCTCCCCTTTAAAAAAAAAATCAGGTTCGATTCCCAACAACAACATAAGAACTAAAATTCATAATCGATGAACTATAATTCCATAATCTAATCTATGAACTAAAAATTTCAGAATGAATGAACTAAAATTCCATAATCTATAAACTAAAATTTCAGAATCGATGAACTACAATTCCATAATCGATGAACTATAATTCCATAATCAATGAACTATAATTCCATAATCTATGAACTAAAATTCCAGAATGAATGAACAATATAATGTTGTTGTTGGGAATCGAACCTGAATTTTTTTTAAAGGGGAGACACGCGTTTTTTAATAAAACGACGTCATTTTGGCATCCGTATGCACCATGCATGGTGCATACGGATGCACAGCATAACGATTGGAGGTTGTGCTTAATGTGTGTGGGGTTTGTACTTAATGTGCGTGAGGTTGTGCTTAATGTCAATAGTTGTTGAAACTTAAAATCTATGAGTTAATATTTAAAGTGCGTGGGGTTTGTGCTTAATGTGCGTGAGGCTGTGCTTAATGTGTGTGGGGTTTGTACTTAATGTGCGTGAGGTTATGCAGACGCTATCATTTGTGTAGACGCTACTCATTTGTGTAGACGCTAACATTTGTGTAGACGCTATCATTTGTGTAGACGCTGTGTAGGCGCTATCTTCTTCCCGACACACATTTTTTTTTAATTTTTATTAATTTGAGCCGTTGATCTAAATTTGATCAACAGCTCAGATCTAACCGCACGGGAAGCTATACCCGCACCTGAACCCTTTCCTATATATATATATATATATATATATATATATATATATATATATATATATATCGACACACACAGATAGAGAGACAGAGATTGAGAGAGAGGGGAAATAGATCAAATGAGAATTGACGCGCAAGAGAGAGCTAGAAACCAATCACATTCATCCATTTGGAAGGATCAAATGAAATTTTTAAAAAATGTAGTGGTATTTTTATAAATAACTCAAACTTTGAAGTGCAAGCAAAATGCGTTGCAAGTAAAAGATTCATAGAGGGGCAACAACAGTGCAAGTGAAATGTATAAAAAGTGCAAGTAACAGCTTAATATAGTGCAACAATATAATGTACACATAGTAACAATATTAAGTGTTCTTAACATTATCATTAGTTTCACCAATGTGAAAAATAAATTACTTGCACTATAAAGTGTAAATGGTTGCACTTGCACTTCAAACTTTGAGTTATTTAAAAAAAATGCCACTGCATTTTTTAAAATTATATATGATCTGTTGATCGATCTTTTCATATGGACGACTCGAATTAGTTCCTATTTCTCTCCTAGACAACAATTCTCACATGAGTGCGCATAAATATAAATATAAATATAAATAAATAAATATACAAATTTATATTTTCTAGTCTACTTTTTATGAATCATTTAATTAATATAGTATACAAGTTTATATTATACTTCATTATATTCGAATTAATTTAGGAAAACTTTGATCTAACTAAAAGAAATTAAAATAAAAAGTATTTAGGAATATACTGTTATTCAAATTATTTTATCTAATTGATTATGTTTCACATTTTGTCATAAATATGTTTTACATTTTAACCCCACTCAAGTATATTTTTGACTCCGACCCTAACTATCATGTAATCTATCAAAAACTTCTATTGTAATTTTACTAATTTATAATGTATTTTTTATTTTAACCTTATTATGATTGTTTGATATTTTGTCATTGACATTTCTAACGTCATTTAAACTTCGTCCCCACTCAGATGATTTTCTGGATCCATTTTAATTTATGTTTAAACCACTGTTAATGCCATTTTTTAATGCTATTTATTCTCCATCGATCTCCTATAAATGCCTTGTTGTTGGCAGACTGTTTTGGCTACTATTTTGAGAACTTCAAATTTTTGTTTTGTTTTCTCCCCACCACTCTCAACTCTTTGCTCAGAAATTTCTGTCAACGTAACACTTCCGCTAGAAGAACGAAGTGTTCTCCTATTGTTCTAATTCACCGGTTTTATTTGTTTGAATGTTCAAACATTAAATTATAATCCGTTTTATCCTGAGAGACTAACGCTACAACACTCTTAGCACCATCGGGAGATAGCGAATCGATTTTAAAGAAAGTTTGTTTTACACACGACTCAAATTTCTTCTCCTTTCTTTTTTCTTGTTAATTGGTTGGGATTATTTTCGAAAGATTATAAATCTCTTTTGACTGGGTTTATATTTAAAAATTATAAAACCCTTTTTCGTTATATATATATATTTCACATATATATATTATTTTTGGTTTCGTACTAAAATTTGGTTGGAATTAATTTTTTAAAATTAAATTCCAACTTTTTGTTGGTATATATATATATATATATATATATATATATATATATATAGAGAGAGAGAGAGAGAGAGAGAGAGAGAGAAAGAGAGAGAGAATAATGCTCATATGTGGTCATGTTGTTAGGTGTGGTCGTGTTGCGGAATTTCAGAATACACCAACAATGTTAACAACATGCACCAACAGTGTAAGGGGAACAAGTTATAATGAAATGCGCAAAAATACCAAAAAATACACCATATAACTCACCAACTCTAATGGTATATTTTCGAACACTGTATGGTGTTTTCACTCAAACCTAATGCATGGTGTGTTGTTGGTGATGCGTACCTAATTTGTGTGCGTTTTTTGTTGTTCATTTCCTGACGTTGATGATGTATATCTTACTTAACTATTGGTGTATTATGAAAATCGTCATATGACCACACCGGAAGGGATTGTCACACCTGAGTGCGACCCTCTATATATATATATATATATATATATATATATATATATATATATATATATATATATATATACTATGATCTCATTCACACACTATATTAAGAAAAAAATTAAAAATAAAATAAAGCAGAAGTACTGTTAGGGTTAGTTTCAGCAAATTAAAATAATATATATATATATTTCCCCAAAATAAAGCGAGTGGGGTCCACTCCGCTGCGAAACCCTACTAGTTTGTGCTTAGTGTGGTGGCCGATGGGATACATGGGAGGAAAAAGGTAAGAAATATGCATCGGAAAAAAGGGAAATTTATTCCAATTATAGAACATAATGAAAAACATAAGCTGTCAGACAATTAAACTATATACATTTAGTACAATTAAGATGCAAAGTGGTAGTCAAACATACCCGGTGCTAACGAAGATTAGTATGAGTATGGTACAAGCTTAAAGATGCCTCATACAGTTAGGGTTTACTCAAGACAATTAAAGTGTTATTGCAAAATTACATATATAATTAATTAATATTTTAAACCTTATATATAATATTTTATAGCATAAATGTAACAATTTATAGTAAAACTGTAACAGACAATTTGTAAGAAATAATATTACAAACACATATATACCATAATACCAAATTCTCATGGCCTAAACCGTCTTACGGATTGAAATCCGTGTCTAAATAGAAAAAATTTTCATACAAAATATGAAACACATCAACTGTACAAACTATTGGAACATTAATAATCTCAACAATTATAATTTTTTTAATGAAAGTGTAGTGAATGATGTCATAGGTGACGTATATACACAATATTAAAGAGATAAACAGATGTACGAACTATTAGGAACATTACCATTACGTAAAATTAATTGATTAAAAAATAAAAAGTTGCAATCTGTATTAGCTGAACAAGTTGTTACCATGTGGTGAAGTACTATATGGGATCTCATGGTTTTGTTGAAAAATATATTATTAATGCTCACATACACTTACCATTCTTTATTGGAATAAGGGTCAAATAGGCCATCGAACTACACAAGAAAATGCAATTAGGCCACTGAACTTTAAAAAAATATAATTGGGCCACTGAACAGCGCAAAATGTTGCAATTCGACCAAAAATGACCTGTTTACTTGTTAACTTGCTGATGTGGAGGTTATCACTTTAAAATAATAATTCTTTTATTTTATTATAATAATTAAAAATAACAAAAACTAA